TCCCTTAAAATGATACATTCTCTCAGTTTAAACGTTTGATCTGTGATTTGTGTTCTATTCTGAATAAAATATTAGATGTTGGCACCTCCACATCATTGCATTCAGTTTTTATTCACAATTTGTTTAGTGTCCCAACTTTTTTGGAATCCAGTTTGTAATATTCTAATTTTTTGAGATACTGAATTTGGGGTTTTCATTAGTTGTCAGTTTTATTCATTAACATTAAAACAAATAAACATTTGAAATATATCAGTCTGTGTGCAATGAATGAATATAATATACAAGTTTCACTTTTTGAATGGAATTATTAGAATAAATCAACTTTTTCATGATATTAATTTTATGACCAGCACCTGTAAATGGAAGTCTGTAGCTCATAAATTTTTCAAGTTTTCGTGCTCACAACATGCACGGGACAGACGGATGGACGGTATTTCCAATTCTCCATTTTTGCTTTGCAATGAGGGACAAAAATGGATGGATGGATGATTATTAAATTGTTATATTTATGAGCAACCCCCCCCAAAACAAACCATCTTCATAAAATCAATATCAGTTTCAACTATCTCTAAAGGACAGAATCAGACCTATAAAAATCCAACCTGTCAACCTCGAATGGACAAAATTATTCATCTAGTACAAGCCAGTCATCTACGTTGTGCCATCTTTCGTTTGCAAAGCATTTCTCTTATTGTGTGAATGTTTATGAAGCATTCACACTACTGTGATCCATTTTTCTTCTGGACATTTTTCAGCATCTTTCTTGTTCCACAGTTTTTGTGCCATTTCAACAAATCATATATCAAAACGTCTGTTTTCAGATTCTTTCTACTGACTACAACATTTTTGTGCTTCTTCTATCTTCTTTCTGCTAATTTCAGCTTGTTATGCTCCTTTCAGCCCATTTATGCAAGTTTCAGCTATTACTGCTATTTCAGCTAATATTCAGCTGTTTTTATGCTAATTTGAGGTTTTTCAGCTAATTCCACATTTTTTGCACTCATTTCAACTTTTTTCAGCCTAATTCAGCAAAATTGTGCTCTCTCCACTTGCTTTTAGCTTCTTTCATCTTTTTTTAGCTACCATTCATTCAGTTATTTTTGTGTGCAAATTTCTGCTTTTTCAGATAATTCCCACTTTTTGTACTAATTTCTGCTTCTTTCAGCCTCAGTGGGCAACATTGTGCTTTCTCCACTTCCTTTTGGTAATTTAAGCTTCTTTCTGATTCTTTATCTACTATTCAGCCATTTTTTAATTTTTATTTTTTTGGTGTGGAAATTCTTGCTTTTTTCAGATTTCCCTTTTTGTGCTCATTTCTGTTTCTTTCAGCCTAATTGTGCACAATTGTGCTCTCTCCACTTCCTTCTGGTAATTTAAGATTTTTTTCAGCTGTTTTAGCTACTTATCAGCTACTTCTTGCTAATTTCAGCTTTTTAAAGGCTAATTTACTATTTTTTGTGCTATTTTCTGCTTATTTAAACCAAATTCAGCATTTATGTGTTCTTTCGGATTTCTTCTGCTAACTTAAGCTTGTTCTTCCATTTCAGCTACATTTCAGCACATTTTTAGCTAATTTCAGCTGTTTATCAGCAAGTTCTTTAGCAATAAGCATTTACACTGCATTTTCACAGGAAATGCAATTTCTCTAGTTCAAATGAAGTTAAATGTGATTTTAGGGACAGCTCACAAATCTCTTTACTTGACTTACAGTAAGTGCAGATTCTGGTGCAGCACATCCAAAACATTTTTATTCTCGACTTTCTTTTAGATTTTGCTCTATATACTGTAGGTGCCACATTTTGTACAGCTGTTTGTATAAACCCATGAAAGGGGGCGTTATAAAAAGGATATCACACATACAGTTCACAGTGTAAGGCACCGTATAAAATACCACTGTCTGGACTTACAGGCTTCCGTACTGTGCTGTGATGTTGTTCCTGCTGTTGTGCTGCCTCTGCAGCTCCTCCATGACGTTTCGGAGCTGTTTGAGAGTCTGAAATGTCTCTTTGGGTTCCTGAATGGTGAACTTGGAGTATTCCTCCTGCTCTCGCTGAGGGCCCTGGTACACCGCCATACTGGCACATGCATCTATAGAAAGAGGATGCACATTGGAGCGTTCAACTCACCCCGATGACCAAAAGTCATCTGCGTCATGCTATGCAACTGTTTCTTCTAGAAGGTATTCAAAATGTTGCTTTTAATTGAAGAGCACATGGAAAGTGTCAAAGAAGAGCAAATAGGTTGATGACATTTTGTCTTCAGTGTGGTCTTTATAGAAGAGCTGCTCCACAGCTGGGCTGAACTCGTCAGATGACTTCACTTTGTTAGGAGTTGGAACGAAGCCCAAACAATGAAAAACAGGTGTCACATTATTACAGGGCACAATCTTTGTTAATGATGTAAACCACTAAACTAAAATAAATAAATAAATAAATCCTGCTTTGTTCCAACTTCAGATTTAATGAACAAATACTGACCCTCCATGTTCTGGAGCTTGGCTTCATTCGAGGAAAGGAGAGAGAAAATCCTCTCCGCCTCCCGGTCACAGTCGATGTCCAGCTGCAGGTTGGCCAGCATGGTGCTGAGACAGGAGGGAACAGAAGAGGAAGAACATGTTTCAGAAGAACAAACAAGAGGCTGCAACAAGTTAAGACACCTAGATAAATGAGCAGCTCGAGACCTAACCAACAAAACTACAACAGTAAAAGTTAGAACGTTGTGTAAAACATAATTAAAATCAGAAGGAAATGATTCGCAAATCTCACCGACGCACATTTTATTAACAGAACAAAGAAACATTTTCAATATTTAAACCAACAAATTGTACCGTTAAAAAAACAAGTTAATTTTAGACTTGACTGCAGCAGCAAATCCCTATAGGTAATTAAGCACCGTGAAGTAGGTGACGTGAACAACAAACAGCTGGAGGAGCGTTTTGTAACTCTTTAGGATGATTTTCAAGAGGTCCGTAAGAAAACTGAGAAGAAGAAGAGCATTTTAAAGAGGCTCGATCTCTCAGAAGTAAAGATGGATAGACGTTCGACAATCAGTAAAAATGTGTCTAAAATAGAGGAACAATTTCAGAATAATGTTCCTCAATGGAAAAAAGGAAGACTTTATCCATTGATTTGATTGATATATATTGATTGACAGACTGAGGTTTTAGTTTTTGGACCTGAGCACCTTAGGAATGAATGTTTCAGTCTTTCTCCCTCCTTAGATGACATTAATCTGTCCTCCAGCTTTAATGTTAATCTTGGTGTTATTTTTGATCAGGACATGTCTTTTATCACCCACATTAAAAATGTTACTAGAACTGCCTTCTTCCACCTGCGTAATATCACTAAAATTAAAAACATCTTATCTAAAAATGATGCAGAAAAACTGGTTCATGCATTTGTCCCGTCTAGACTGGACTATCACAATGGTGTATTATCTGAGTGTCCAAATACGTCTTTAAAACGTCTTCAGTTGATCCAAAATGCTGCTGCCAGAGTCTTAACTGGAGTTAGTGGGAGAGATCATATCTCTCCAGTTTTAGCTTCTCTCCATCGGCTCCCTGTCACATACAGAACTGAATTCAAAATCTTACTTCTAACCTACAAAGCTCTCAACAACCTAGCTCCATCTTATATTACAGATCTTATTATTTCATATTTTCCTAACAGAGCACTTTGATCTCAGACTGCAGGTTTACTTGTGGTTCCTAGAGTTTCTAAAAACAGAATGGGAGGCAGATCTTTCAGTTATCAGGCTCCTCTCTTGTGGAACCAACTTCCAGTTTCTGTCCATGAGGCTGACACATTATCCAGTTTTAAGACTGGGATTAAGACTTTCCTTTTTGATCAATCCTATAGTTAGGGTTGGCTTGTCATGCTGCTTTAAACTTAGACTACTGGAGGACAAAATGACCTGTGAAATGAATGATTAAAAATGAATGGTTTTCATTTGATATTATTTCTATCTTAACATGTGATTCTTGACCTGCCATTGTGTATCTGTTCCTCTCAAACCCAGCTGGTTGAAGCAGACGTCCACTTGTCCTGAGTCTGGTTCTGCTAAAGGTTTCTTCCTCATGAGGGAGTTTTTTCTTTCCACTGTCTCCTTCATGTTTGCTCAGGATGAGAGTTCTGTGATGGAGTTCAATTCAAAGCAGTCTGCTCCTCAGGTAAATAATGTTAAATGATTATTTTTATATAGGAATGTTTCTGTTCAGTGTCCTGAGACGACTTCTGTTGTGACTTGGTGCTATAGAAATAAAATGAACTGAACTGATTCATTAAAAACACAAGAATTTGTAGAAATGTTTGTGCTCAAAGAACAAGGCTGAAAGTCAGATACAGGACAGTTGTGGCACAGCAATAAAAAAGTCCAGACTCTGTTACAAACATTAAATGTGCTCATGCACACTTCCACAAATTATCATCTGTGAACACAGTAAACCAAACAATCCAAATAAATGCTGGTTAAGCCCTTCAAGTCCATCCATCCATTATCTTTTACCCACGTCTTCCTCGTCTCAGTCTTAGGACTTAAGACTCATGAGACCGAGTATCTTGAAGAGTCTCAGACTGAAGAAGTCTTCTGGATAAAATATGAAATGTTTCAACAAAGAAGAATCTGTCCAGAGGACCTGACTCAACCTTGTTAGATTTATAAATTAAATCAAATGCTGTTCTTGAATGTTTTGGAGTTCATGCAGATGCTTGGTCTCTCTGTAAGGGTAGTAGCACTCTGAGTTTCCACCTCAGCAGTCAAAATGATTGCAACTATAACTAGTGTGTAGTTATTACTCAGTAGATAGTATTGGCTCTGGGCAGACATAGATCGATACCGCTGGTCTAGAAAGGTATCAATTAAAAAGGGAGGGCTTACTTAGCCCTTTAATACACATCAACAGGGCCCGTGGGCTGTTCTGGACAGTTTAAGTGTTAAAACTCTATCATGCAATAAAATGCCATCTGTAAACACTGCACAGCTGTCATGTTCTCTGGATCAAACCTCTTCAAAATGGACTGGCAAAGTCGAAAAATGTTCTGTGGTCAGACGAATGGAAGCTTGTAATCCTCTTGGAAACCACAGAGACCATGTCCTCCATAACAAAGCAGAGAGGGAATATCAAGCTCATTAACGTCTCACAGTTCACATTCCTGCATCTCTATGAGGACATGGGGTGAATTACAGTACTGTCTCAGGCATGGGCAGCTTACACATCTGGAAAGGCATTATCACTGCACAAAAGTACATACAGGTTTTAGAACATCTGCTCCCATCCAGCAAGGATGACCAAGGACTGTTCCACAGTTAAAATCAAAAGACCCAAATGAGAGAACATCCCCCTCAGAACCTCCAGCAGCTGGTCTCAGTTCCCAGACTTTTACAGATGGTTGTTGAAAGAAGAGGAGATGTTTCACTGTGGTAAATATGGTCTTGTCCCATATTTTCTGAGATGTGTTGATGCCAACAAACTCAAAAGGAACATTTTTTTTATTTCCTTCAAACGTTGTGTCTAAAACAGTGGAACATTGTTATGTTTACTACGTTCCATAGAGAACAATATGGGTTGTAATTGTGTTAAAGTTTATGAAGCATTCACACTGTTGTGATCCATTTTTCTACTATACGGTTTTCTACACGATTCTCATCCCGCTCCAACCCATTTCACCAAATCATAAATCAAAACATTCAGCTCTTTCAGGACAATCCTGCTGTGACTTTTGGTATTGCTGCAACTTTAGCTTTTTGAAATATTTAGCCCTTTCTGCCACTTTTCCCCCCAGAAAACAAATTGAGCTCATTTTACACATTTCAAATCTTCAGATCTGTTTACAACCTCCTTTCATATTTTGTTCTGCTTCAGCTTCTTTCAGCTTCCTTGTGCAAATTTAAACTTTTTTCCAACTACTTTCTGCTAATTTCAGCTGTTTTTTCAGCTGTTTTGTGATCCCTGCTGATTCTTTCTGCTAACTACAATATTTTCATGCTTCTTCTAACTTCTTTCTGCTATTTTCAGCTTGTTATGCTCCTTTCAGCTTATTTATGAAATTTTAAACTTTTTCTACTATTTCAGCTACTATATAGCTGTTTTTATGCTAATTTAAACTTTTACAGCTAATTCCACATTTGTTGTACTCATTTAAACTTTTCTTCAGCTGAATTCTGCAAAAATGTGCACTCTATGTCCTTCTTATAATTTCAGCTTCTTTCTACATTTTTAGCTACCGGTACTTTTCAGTTTTTTTTTGGGGGGGGTTGTGCTAATTTCAGCTTTTTTCAGCTAATTTTCTACTTTTTGTGCTCATTTCTGCTTTTGTCAGCCCAATTGTGCAAACGTGTTCTTTCAACTTTCTTCTGCTAATTTAAGCTTGTTCTATCTTTCCAGCTACCTGTTTTTAGATAATTTGTAGCCAATTTCAGCAGTTTTCCGTTAAATTCAAGTTTTTCTAGGTAATTTCTGCTACTTTCAGCCTAATTAACTTCTTTCTGCTAATTTCGGCTTGTTATGCTGCTTCCAGCTTGTTAAGCTCCTTTCAGCTTTTTCTGCTATTTCAGCTACTATTTAGTCTTTTTTTAATGCAAATTTGAGCTTTTTCAGCTAAGTCCACATTTTTTGAGCTCATTTCAGCTCTTTCTACTTCCTTCTCATAGGTTAAGCTTCTTTCTTTTTAGATGTTTTTTTTGTTGCTAATTTTAACCTTTTTTTTAGCTAATTTCCTAATTTTTGTACTAATTTCTGCTTATTTAAACCTAAATCAGCACAAATGTGTTCTTCTTTCTGCTTTCTTCTGCTAACTTAGGCTTGATATTATATTTCAGCTACATTGCAGCATTTTTTTAAGCTAATTTCAGCTGTTTTGTAGTAAGTTATGCAATAAGCCTTCACACTGCATTTTTGCAGGAAATGCAATTTCTCTAGTTTGCAATTTAAAATGAGCAAATAATATCGTTCTGTTTTTAATTTTTATTTCACACAAGGTCCCAACGTTTACAGAATCGAGGCTGTACTGAAAACAAACTCGTCCCTTTTCTGGACAGCGTGGGAATGCTGCGATAAAAGAGCAACACTCACATTGTGCACGCCTTGCAGCCTGGAGCGTTGGGACTCTGGTTTTTGCAGCACTGCCAGGCTCCGTTGGTGTAGTTTGACGGGTGGAAAGTGTCCAAGCGTTCCTCGTTACAACAACTGACCTGGCCCAGGATCTCCAGCCACTCGCTGGCCTCCACACAGTTCCCTGCCTGAACATAAAGAGGCTTCTCATTGTGGACCACCTGAAACATCTAACACAAGAGGAAAACACCAGCTCAGTTTGAGCAAACTCATCTGTTTACATCAACAATTACAACAAGTGTGTAAGTTTAGCTACCTGTAGTTAATTATTAAGCGTAAGGTGTGTGTTAGTAAAAATCTCATGAACCAGTGGACAGCTTTTAATAAAACGCTCAGAGAGTTAGCATTGGATTAACTTTCGGAGTCAATACAATTCAAGATGACAGAACAGCTAATGAATACAAGCTAAGTCAGAGCACAACAACTCATGATAACGTCATGCGCCATGAGATTGTGCATACCACTTTCAAAGTTTAACTACTAGGCTACAACTTTGTCATTTTATATATATATATATATATATATATATATATATATATATATTAAAAAATAAAAAATTAGTCCTACACTCTGGCATGATAGGTGGCAGGTGATGTGCATTCCTTCAAGAAGAGCTGTCTTTAACCGTGTGAATGTCTGTGAAGCATTCACACTATTGCGATCCATTTTTCTTGTTTCGACGTGATTTTTGTCCTGCAATTTTCAAGCCACTTCAACAAATCAAAACGTTCAGCTCTTTCAGGACAATCCTGATATGA